GTATGATTATCAGTGGCATATTGCCCATTCAAGAAAAAAAGACTTCTTGTTAATTCTCTTCAAATATTTGATATCAGATGAGTTAAAGTTCTATTACATAGTTTAGCACACCAATCAGATTCTCACTTTTTACTCCATATTAAACATCAATATTTTAATCGTGAATATATTTGCTTTCAAATCACTTCATTATGAAATCATGATAATGTTAGAAATAACTGATTTGTCAAATAACGGTTAAGGATAAAACTGACTACAGTAATTACGAGATACTATATAGCTAACGTTTAATCAATCTCACTCACTATTTGTTTATCCCTATTTTTCAACACTGAGTCACGAAACGTCAGAAACTTTAATTTTTCTACTCATTGGGATATTACAAATATATTAATTTATCTATTTCAAAGATGCTCTTTCTACTTATTTCAAGATGCATTTTAAGTAAAGATAAAAATCAATGCATCAAAATGATTTTCTACTGCTAAACAGTATGCCACCTATACATCAACTTTCATTATTTATGCTGTGAGATAGTCACTCACTGAAGACAATGGAGACGGTACCGCAATATCGTGGAGTGGTTGAAATTAGACATTAGCACCGTCGGATCCCGGCTCAGTAGTTTAGAGTTTAAGCGTTCGCGCACCAGACCTTAGATCTTGGGTTCGAGTTCCGCCGGAGTCCCATACTAGGGTGAAACGGCTGTTCAGTGCTTCCAGGTTTTCAATGGTAGTCTGATATTGATCAGTTCATGATATCAATTGTGCTTGATAATTAAACAAATTGAAATCTACTCGTAAATGGGTTCTAATACGTCTGAATTACCACTCCATAAGAAAGGATTATCTGTCTTACAAAAGGCTAAAAGCTATTTACAAGTCATTCAATCAATTGTTACATCATTGGTGTTCTGAGTAGGTAGACATGACGAATAAAAGCGTGAGTACTTGAATGTTTATTATTAGTAAATATGAGAAATTAGTCAAATACCTGAAAATAAAATATTACTAAAAAACTCGATATTATTATGACACTTTCAATTATGAGTTCATACATATAAATCTGTATTCTGGGAGATAATTACACTTTTCTCTAACTTTATCAATTATACGCTGGAATGAAAGGACAGATAGTCTACCACTGACGAAAATAAAAATTAAGTGAAATATTAGCAATAAATATACTATAAAACCAAAGAGCATATATGTTCTTTCAACTCTTTCAAAGAAAGATATGTAGTTTACAATGGTAGTACAGTGAAAGGTATTATTTGTTAGTACGAAACAATATCATTTCCCATTATTCGGATTATTTTTCCCACCCTAATGCTACTTCAAAGTGAAATAGATGAATTTTATTTTCATGTTGTTGCATATTAAAAACACAAATACTCATACACGCATACCAATACAGGTAAAACGTTGGTGATAAATATGAAAAACAAAAAAATTACGCTATCAGAACAGGGTACATCACTGTTAGGACAAATAACCGTAAAAATATATGTAATAGTACGTTGTTAAAAAAATTTATTCATTATTCTACAGATAATATAAATCTGTTTGTAGATTATGATGACAATGATAAATAATTAAGCTATTATTTTATCCTTTGACAATTAATGCCAAAATGTTTTATTGACAAAGATTATTGACAATTTACATCACGAACTGCTCTTAGTTAGGCAACCACTAAAAACCATAAAGCATTGAGTAGTTGTTTTATCCTAGTATGGAATACCTCAGGAGTGGACATTCATGACCCCACTGCGAAAAATGGTGCAAACTATGAAACTTAACAATTTCCACAAACCTCTTACACTAAAAATTATAGCATTTTTCGAGTGCCAATAGTTATAAACAAGTGAAGATTATCTAGTCGACATAAATATCTTTGTCGGCTCTGTTGTAAATAAAGACTGGTTTTCTATTATACGTTAACTCCTTCTTATCTCAAGTTGCAAAGGATTTTTTAAATAATGCTCAATTGTTCGTTTATCGGGTTACATACCAGTTCATTTTCGGTTTTTAGACTCTGTTCAATATAATATGTATGCTGAACAGTGTTTTATCATAGCATTAGGTCTAAAACATTTTATGCGATTTGAGTTTCAACACTGTGATCTCGTTCTACATATACGTACACACTTTATCCTATCTGTCGCCAAACATCTGGAAGCACATTTAAATCATTTCTACATGAAGTAGGAGCTAAAATTATTCTCAAGAATGATGATGAAAGATCTACAATTGAACCGTATAGATCAGAGAACACAACACCAAAAACAAAGATATTAGGATCAGTAACCGATACATCATATTTTTTAACTGCTAGTTAAATTTCGAAAGCTATTTGTGTGCCGAAATATTTACAAAGACCGACTCACTAGTATTGGTAATCCTCACAAATATCTCCATACTTATTTTATTTGCATACACAACCCTCTAGTTAGAAATAGAATATATTGTAGCTATTTCAACGGTATGTGTGTGCTGACAGATCTTGTGCATCAATTCATTGATTTAAATAAAATTAATTTAATTGATAAAAGTCAATACTTCCTTACATAACTTATCAACAGAAATACAGATGACTAACTTGAATCTAACAACAAATATTACCACTGACTGACAAAAAATCTAAGAAAACATTTAATAATATGTGGTAATATAGTTATAAGAATTTATTTTTAAAAAAAACACTTTTAGATTTTCTTTCATTGAGGGAAAGTAAAATGAATCCATAATAAAAATAGATTCCGCCGTAATACTGAAAAAAGACATTTGATTAGATAAAACTGAAGCACTGTAGTCTCAAATGCACCAGTTTTCCATCGTAAAACCTACATACTAAAATACTTTTATACTCTAAATTTATAAGTTTATTGAATTATAAAGTCAACACTCACTCATCAAAAAAGCGGGAAAACCACTAAACGTGCTGAGTACAATGCACTTATTGATAAGTGGGATGCTGAGAATAACCTCACGACAATTACTTTAATGAGACAATATTAGTTGTACGAAAGTTACCCAATAAGAAAAGTGTATTATTTGTCGACATAATTGTCAAATGAATCATAAATAACATGAAATGAAGTTGAAACATATTATACAACAAAATGATCATCTCTTTGAATCAATAACTATTCTAACTGAGAAATGAATAATGCTGATTACTAAAAATCACATGATACAGAAACTTTAGTTAATACTTTAAATAGCATCCATCATCGCATCATTTGGATTGTGTAAAACTTTTCGTGAACGATATGTATATACGTATACGTGTCTTATTTAAAATGTAAATCAATATGGGATTATTGTCAAAGGAGTTCCGTCTGTAAAGTATTTTAGTCAAAGTTAAGATAAAAACGTCATATATAAGCTAAGCAGTTACTACTAGATTAAATACTTTCATGAGTTTGATTGTTTGCATCGCATACAATTCAACAATTAGGGGTAATGATTTTAATCAACAAATTGGAAAGTAGGCTTTATGTAATTACTTTTTAATAATATATTTCATTAATGAATGATAATAGTCTATCACAAAAGAAATCAAGTATGGTGAGAACAATTGGTGAATTGACGATTTAACAAAAGATTCATCAGTTTAAAGTGTAACTACAGGAAAAAGTGTCATAGAAAATATAGAATTATTTTGATATGTATCATCATATTACAATCAGAAAAATAGGATGAATTAACCAACAAAGTCCTAAAAATGTACAAACAAACATACATCCACACATATACACACAAACAAACATCATGATATATCTAATTAACAAAATAAACAAAAGATTACAGTAGTTTAATAATTCAATGGTTAAATATATTGTTTTACTGACAATAATAATATTATTATTATTCGAAAAATATACAAAACATAACAGAACCGAAAAGAAAAAACCCTTTTGTTTAACTGTTTGTAACTTCGCAATAATAAAACATGAGAAATAGAAAGAGAATATTAGATTAAAATGAAAATAAACACAAGTGTGTACAAAAAGATACAAGCCGATATTTATGTAAAATTATTTTTATATCGTAGGCAACGATACCGATAGTGAAAACAAATTACAGTAGAATACAGTAAAATAATGGAAATGAATAATGATAATAAGAATAAACCAATGTATATGAGCCAAAAGAATAAATGATGAGTGTATAGATGACTATGCATTGTCCAATTTTAATAGTAAATAAGGTTCATTTGAACTGATGCCAACATACTCAAAAAGTGTTCGATGATAACAATATTTTTCATTAATAATAAATACATATTTTTTGTTATATTCCAATGAGTAAAAAAGTTGTATTTCTGACGTTTCGTGGCTTAATGTAAGCCACTTCCACAATGTTTCCTAATTACTATTTAAATATATGTAAATTAAATTCGGTTATTTATTTACTCTGAAGAAGTGGCTTACAATAGATCACGAAACGTCAGGAACACAACTTTTCTATTCATTGGGATATAACGAAAAATATATATTTACTATTATTCTAGTACCCGAAGCTCAATTTATTTGAAGATATCAAGACCAACCTCGGCATTGGTACCTACAATTATTGTCAATATGATACATGAGAAAGATATTAGTAAAGTATTGCAATTATCAATATGCTCAATAGTTTAGAATGTATACATCCGTTTGCATAATAAAGCAACATAATTAAAAAAAACAGTAATTGAAAATACAATCTACAAAAAGAAAAGAAAATTTCATAGTGAACAATTATAAACCCTAGAATTGAGTTTGTGAAATTTCATTGGTATCGATATGGGAGAAAACGAATCAACTAGAAAATTACTAAGCAAGTATTTACTAAAGAAAGTTTTTCTGTTTTAATAATAGAAAAAAACAAATAAAAAAGACCACGACAAATATTATTTTTGAAAAAAATAGAAGTCAACATTGAAATTCAGAGATTATTAGGTACGGATTAGGATATTGTACGTCGAATCAGACATTGGAGCCAAATCGGTATTATATATATATATATATATATATATATATATATATATATATCATAGAATTCGAGAATTGAACGGATTCCGAACAGCTTTAATAAAGATAAAAAACATGAGAATTCGATAAGTAAAACATTTCACATACAATTTACAAACAATTTATTATGTGGAACAATAGATAAACGAGATTAAACTAATCAAACTAGACAGAGCAAAATTAATAGTTTCATTATAAATTTCTAATATGATTACTTCCCAAACAAACTCGTTATGTAAGCAGTAACATTCTGATTTAAAAGAATATTCAAAGTAATAATTTCTATTGTCAACAAATTGAACACGAGACAGATTGTAGAAGAGTCATTTTGTATAAAAGTCAATAATTGAAACATTTATGACGTATGACTGACCTATTGTCGATTAAATTAACTTAATTAAGAAATGTGGATTGGCAGTGTTATGGTCTATGAGAATTGACAAAGGAAAGAATGCAGAAAGTAATAACACATCATGAAATTACAGAATAATTGTACTACAATATAAAATCTATTGGATATATAAGATGCAGATATTTAATCTTAAATCTCAGAAAAACTAAATGTTATACATTGTTAGCAATCTATAATGAAATTCAACAGAAACTTGGATTCGGATTATCTATCTATAGTAAACGTAGTTGAAACAGAAAAAAGGTGTCGTAACACAAGACAAGTTCATGTTAAACTAATGTCAACTAATCAATTGTATGGGTTTAGCGGTCGGTATTCAATATAATCCTTAAACTTCGTATATAGTTCGTCCTGATAACCGTCAATAGATAATGCCCAAACGGTTTATTAATCAGGTGAATACGAAACGTTGATTATGTTTATTATTGCACAACACAGATATCCAAATTTACAGGTACACTAAACAAGCATGAGATAGTAGTGCCGAAAAGCAAGCAGGCAAAAGTGTGCGAGCGAGTCAATTAAGCGACTAACAGTAAAGCTAGCAGAATGAATATATGCGTAGACAGTAACCAATACTCAAGCATTCATATTCATACAAGTGCGACACTAAGAAAGGCACAATGATATAGATAAATTTTTATTGTACGGATGACTCTGTTCGTTAAATAAGTTAACAAAAAGGCTTAACAAAATTATTTGTGGATAAACTTAATTACAAGTGAGCTGCTATACGGGAAATAGAATGATTCTATGATGTAAAAGTTTTGGTGTTAGACATTTTCTATTATTCAATACACTATATCTGTATAGAACACAATTATTAAGCTCTTTCTAATATCTATTGAAATGAAAAAAATACGGATTTACTTATAGGACAAATATAGAATTACCAACCTTTTCTATATAAAATTCTCAAGTGATTTGATTCTCGATATCTATGGCATAACTGTTACCTACAGTTTTAAAGTAATTTATAAAACACATTGAAGTCACAAATCGATTGCGCACATATGACAGATTTAGTCATAATTTTGTGAAGACAACAGTTTACTCGCTATGTTTAATATACATGAAAGTACAACCATAAAATACATTGGTCTTCTTCAAATCTCGTGGAATAAATATATTACTGGAAATCAAAAAGCTGGCTTTGACCATATGAATAAATACAAAAGAATTCAATATTACAGTTATTCAACCTTAACCAAGAAGTTACCATATTTATTATCATTAGTATGAGCCACAGAGTTGAGTGATTTCAGGAATAATCTACCGTTATATATCTTTTATATGATATATGGGCTGATAACACGTAATATTGTATAGATTTATAAATGATGACTGAAATCTAAAGGATTTGAATTAGTGGCCTTTAATTAAAATATCTGATTCTTTACCTATTATATATCAATATCAACCAGATCTCAGTTTATTTTGATTATTCGTCCGTTTCAGGTACATTTCTCGCAATTTATAATTCAACAAATAACACCATCTCTGTCTTAATTGAGATAAGACACAATGCGAGAGTGATTAATCATCAAAGTGACTATCACAAATAGTCTTGGTTGATAACAGTATACTTTGAAGAAAACATCAATCGCTTGAAGAAATTCATATTTAATACCGAAAAAAGGTATTCTATTTTATGATTTCATACAATTTCAACAACTATTTTCGAGGACGAATAGAGTAGGAGAGAATGGAAATTTAATTGTTTATATGAACTGGGATGAACATTGATGTATCTACCCAGTAACATAAATGATGGAAGATATCTACATAGAAGAATTAATGTTATTGCTATCATACAAAAATAAACGAAACTATTAACTGCATCAACCACTTCACTAATCCTGTTTAAACTAAACATGATTCTGGTAGATCTTTGAAAAATCATTTCATAATTAACAATGAATATAAAAACAAAAAATCTCAATGACCTTTTAACAATAACTTACCAGAATAAGAAAATCACAGTTATTAATTTTGTTTTTTAAGTAAATATTAAGGGAAAAAATACTGGACAACAAAATCATACTACTATTATTACTTTTATTACTGTGATGTCAAACACCATTGATATTGATTTTTGACAGATTTTATGATGAAGGCATATCTTTATTACGGTGAGGAATTCATTTGGATTTTTTCTTATCTCTGTTTTATAATATTTCTTTACTGATTACATCATTATTTATATGATTATGATTATTTTGACTGATTGTAATCAGTGAATTTGATTTGTCAAATACATTTACAGATGACTGAATTGGATCTAATTCGGTATTACAATTTAATAACTTATCATCCTTGATAGATGGTATATTTACATTTTGGAATAAGTTAGATGAAGAAGAGAGATTTTCGATAGGCATAAATGAATCGGATAAATGTTGAAGTAAAGGTGGTCGTTGTTGTCCTTCTACCACTATTGTTTTCTTTTCTTCCTTACTTCGTTTTTCCATTATTGCAAAATTCTGATTATTATTATTATTATTATTATTATTGATAAATTTACCATCTTTATTAATTGTTTGATTATCCAATATACAATCAGTGAATATCTCATTAATCGGATTACTAGAGATTACTGTGCAGTTTAAATCACCCAAAACCTCGACGTTACTATCAATATCAAGTTGTTCGATCGTTGTATTTAACGAATTATCTAACTGGAGATCAGCAATACTATTATCATCAGGACCACAATCATTATTAATGTTGTTATTATTATCAACATCACATTCATAACTTCGTATCACTGATGTATTCGATGTACAATTTGCTGTGTCCAATGACATCTCACCATTTATTATATTACAATTAGTTAGTGAATTATCATTACACTGTATCACTGAGCTGGTATTCATTAATTCAGATTGTCCCAACGAATTCTCTTCATTGACAACGTCAGTTGGTGTGATTGTATCACAATTAATATTCGAGACATTATTAATATTATCAACTAGTTCTGTATCTAAACGATTTCTTCTAAGATTTGAATCGATGCTTTCAATGAGAGATCTAATTAAATCTTTATCTTTCTGTAAAAAGAACAAAGAATAAATAAAATTATTACTGTAAGGATATGTGAAGATTGCTGAATCTCATAGCTCACATCATTAAAATGACAGTTAGAAAACCATTGGAAACTAGGAAGCACTAGATAGTTGTTTCATCTTTAACAGCAATGTGGATCCACGATTTTACATGGAGTCGAGCTAAGGAGCCTCAGGTTCTATGGGGACTACTTAATCTTCATAAAGATTAGTACCGATTAATAAAAATGATGGTAATCCCATACAATAGGAAGTGGAATTCGCCTTTCATTTTCCACAGTAAGTGCAGAAAAATTTTACATGATATTTATTTGTCAAGAATAATCTTTGGCACTAGATATAACGTAACGATTGTAACCAGTTACCTTAATAAATAGTTGTACATTCATTCAGATATTGTTAATTTTACATACTTTCTCAAAAGGTATAAGTTATTTCAAGGTTTTAAGTTGATCAACGAAGAATTAATTTCGTACATAATAACCTTCACCTTTAACTTGGATAAAATTTGTGACTAGAGAAACTCACCTAAGATACATATAAAAAAATCACCACCAATCTCATTAGATAATAGTCGCCAGTAAATCCTAAATCAATATTCAAGTGGGTAGTACTTCGGTTAGAGATCTTAATAGATCCCAGGTTGTATTATCGTTGAGATTGTGGATGTGCAGTGCTCAGGAGTTTCACAGTGATATAAGACACCTGTCTAGTGACCCCTGATTTTCGATGGTGTCCAAACTGATGTCAATCCGTAACAAATATAGTGTCATAAAATCCATATTATATCAGGAAATGTGTAAACAAATAAAGAATATTAATTTTGTGTAAAGAATCGATCTGTTCAGTGTCAATCAGATGCCATATAATTTCAATTAATGATGAATGACCAACCATGACTCACTGTAGGTAGGATAAAATCATACCTATATCAGCATCTCGAGTAGTCTGTAGGCGGATAACATACTGGACTTTAAAGATAAAGTGATGATAAAACATAATATAAAAAATACTTTAAAAATCATTAGTTCATTTAATAATCAAGCTTATTTAAAAAGCCATTGACTAGACGTTTTAGTTCCAGCTCACATTTTCTCCACCTTTACAAAATAAAGACAGATACAGTGGATGGACCTGCTCCAGTGTAAACGATTCCGAGCTATTCCACTCAAATCCTTCGATCGCCGACCACAATTACCTTGCGGACTCCAACCAAGTAGTTTGCATCTATCAACATGGTTCAGACCAGTAGTCAATGACTACATGGACTGATGCAATGTTTTGACTTGGTCGCCCCTAGCTATCTTCTTATCTACTTCTGCACTAGCAACCATCACGCATCTAGGTGGACGGTGATAAGATTCTCTGCCTAATCAATCAATTTGCTACATTTTCCAAGTACCCTAAAGAAAACCTCAGCATTACATATTCAATCGTTCCAATAAATGTCAACAATGATTCTACAAAAATTGTGACCAAACACCTCCAGCTTACGCATGTCTTCTATTTTCATAGACCACGATTCAGGGTCGAATGTTGAGCAATAAACACACTCTCCAGTTGGCAGACGGTGTTCATACTTACTACACAACTGAAAAAAGTTGATAAACACCAACAACGCCTTACACACTAAAGAAGACACTCCGATTGCATAATCAACTATAATTATTATTTCAACTACACAAAAACTATCTCCATAAAGAAGCATGAAATATATGAGGAGTTTTATTGGTAGACCAATAAACAAAACCTATTCGTATGAGGTATCGACCTTCAAAACGAAACAGAATCTGACATTCAAACTACAAATAATTATTAACAGAATTATGTCAAGTTTACCAGTGGAGTTTGATCATGTTAAGAGTGAGATATCGTCAATAGCATTGGATTAAGGTAATGATCTACATCGTGAATTAGCTGGAATTAGATATGTGAACCAGTGTGTACCAATTAAGTAGTTCAAATCTGACATAAATCTACAATCAGTCAGCAACAACGTAGAACCAGGCACATATATGCATCAGTCCAAGTTGCCATACCTCATTATCACAACAAGATGAACACCGAATTAATAGAAGCAATTGCGTCAACGCTAGTAATATATAAAAGAAAGACTGAACATAAGTATATAATACAGGGAGAAAGAATTAGTTCGTAAAAAGAAAGGTATAAAGTAATTTTAATCTCACGGTTTAAGGGAAGATAAACAGTGTATACTCCTACGTCACTGTGATCCATTCTGAGCCATATCACCTAGTCTCCAACCATTGGTTACGATAGTCGCGTAGACCCCAACCGAGTAGTCTGAATCTATCAACATGGCTCAGACCAGAAGTTAGTGACTTGATGGATTAATGTCACATTTTAGTTTCACTTCCGGTAACTCTCTTCCAACCGTCGCCAACACTAGTCAGCATTGAATGTCGTGGTAATCAGTGTTCAGACATACGTAACACGTGGCCCAACAATTTCAGTCGATGAAGAAAGACAACCTCATCAACTGATTTACCATCATTCCCTAATACTCTACTTCTGATCTCACTATTACTTACCCGGTGATCCCAGCAGATGCGGGTAATATTTCTAAGACATCTGTGATCAAATACTAGTAACTTACGAGTATACATAAATCTACAGTCTCATTATGAGAAACAGTAACTATTGAAAGTGACATTATTTAAGGTACCTGAAATATTAAAAATGTAAAGTATTCTGAGACGTTAAAGCCCAAAGAGAGTCTCCTACTAGAATAGCATAAACGTGTTATGTTATATGTTGATTAAAACTTGGCAAATTATACTCTGTAAGATGATCGTCATGTAACTCAATATACCAAACCAAGAAATTCAAATACACTGCATTCATTCCTAAAAACAGACAAATATATCTATGTACTATATCGACACCACCTCAAGACAGTGATAAAACAATGTAACACAATCCGTTATCCGACTGTTGTTCAACTAATATAAACCAATGGTAAAAAACTCCTTAAACAAATGTATATATGTAAAACAAGAAAGACTGGTTAAGTGAACAGTTCACTTCTCGGAGAATTCATTTTCAAAGTTGTACAAGCAAAAATATATACTTAGTTTTCGAAACGGTAATATTTATAATAATAGTGATAATAAAATTTAGCTAAACATGATAGCAGTGAGATACAATAAATAGAGTTCAATGAGTGAACCCCTTGTGAATACACAGGTTATTCGATCAAAACGGATTCTGCTTTCAAATTCATCTACAAGGTAATTAGAGAGTTGTTCAAAGGAGTTATGTTCCATCTTCTTAGTATTATCGAAGCACTAGCTATACATCTAGAAAGACCATAATTTTGTGTACTAAAGAAACTTTTACAACCTCAACTTTTACCACAGTCTTAATCTCTCGTAACTTTCCTTCTCCCTCCTTTTCTTTGTTCACAGTAATCTGCATTCCTTCTATCTTCTTTGTTATAGACCATTTAGTCTCAACTGATTTGTTTTTGTTCCCACCATTCACCCGACTACAGTTTATCTCAACTTTAACACTATATCACTCTGAGCCTTCTCTTTTCAATTATAATTCTTTATCTATCTGAATTTGCCGAAAAGAGGACTGTTGGATGAACCAATCTCTCTTATCTTATGTCTCAACGAGTATATTCCATTATATATATATATATATATATATATATATATATATATATATATATATATATATATATCATTAATTTGAACCTACATCAGATAGATCCAGCTGAGAGTTCGCCCAACGATGTGCGTCTGAAACCAGACTTGTTAATGTTTTGTTAATAAATAAAGTTTTTGATAAAGCCATTACAGAGGCTATATCTAAATTATTGTTGCGTATATCCAAATACTTTAGACACTTTGATTCACTGAGAAAACTGGATAAAGCGAAAATTCCTAGTGTTTTTAGTAAAGCAAAAAGGCGAAAATTGATTAGGCATACGATAGAGTGTACTTTACATATCAAAAGTTTCAAGAAAACAATTTAGCAGTTTGTAGAAAAACCTCTCTAATAATCTGTTTGATTGAGACTTACATCCAAGTGACTAATAAACTACTCACTATTTGAACAAAATAATGATGCTGAATTGTAACTGTTAAATAAGTGGTTCCATCAGAGAAACGCATTCATCCATTAAAATAAACTACACTTGCAACAGACAACAATCAATTATGTATCACAAAAATTTATTATTCATAAGCACGATAATATCTAGTAATCAAGATGGGTATTACACTTTGATTTAATGTTGTTCGATGTTTCAGGACAGATTCCTTCGTGACAATCTGATGTCAACCAAACAATTGAATTTTTAAAAATTTATATAGGAATCAACATTTATTCTGTCATAGATCATAAGTAAATTATTAGTTAATAACTTAGCTAAACTATGTCACTTGGTACTTTTATTTCATTAGTATCGTATGGTCATTTTAATAAGTGACCTCTATATATAGAACATATGCAAATAATTAATATAAATGATGTTACATTCACATGATATAAAGTAATTACACGAGAAAATCATATGATGAAAACGTACGATTATGTAAACATCAATTTAAGTGGTCCTCCACCCCCAACAAAAAGCAACCCACTTTCAATAACTCGTTGTCTGTAGCTTTAGTATGACTGATGATGATTAGTTGTCCCGGTTTTCGAGAACGCAGTGCTTTAGATGTACCATGTTTACTGTGATCTATGCAGTTTTTACGAACAAATTCATATTTCTACTAGTACCGTACAAATGTATACAGTAGAATGAAACACTGCCTCCCTTGTTTCTAGTGACTTTTTTGTGAAAATTACTTTTAAAATACTGAAATTAAAATTGGTGCACAATATATGTGTGCTTTATAATTATCTTCATCGACAAACACTTAATCAACAGTCAAGGTTGTAGTGACTGTAGGATATATGCATAAAATTGTTTTGGAAATTAGCAAACTATGATAATTCAACGCCACAAATTTATTTATGGATTATTAGCAGATTCTTTTTGGAATCTTGACACTATGGTTGCTGTTTCTCGTGGGCAGAATTTAACTACAAATATGAACTGTTTACGAAGTGCAAACTTACGCAGTTTAGTTTGAGGTGTATACTTTAATTGCCTGAGTGTTGGTGATGCAGCACATCTCCAAAAATAGAAATCAGTATTTGGAAAGTGGACATTTAAATTAATAAGTCACTGGCCTTTATAGTAAATATTACAATACAATAGCGGTGAAGGACAAGTAAGTGAACTAAAACTAAGTTTCTTTTTCACGAAATGCAATCATTCAATCGATAAACAACAGTTTCAATAAGGTTTAATAGTATGTGATTTAAGAAATAGCAACAATTAAATAAATGTCAATGGTTAAGATCATGAGTCAGTTGAAGCTAGACCACCATGGGAAACCTGGAAGCACTGAACGGCCGTTTCGTCTTATTGTGGGACTCCTTAGCAGTGCGCATTAATTAGGACGAAACGATCGTCCAGTGCTTCCAGGTTTTTCATGGTGGTCTAACTTCAACTGACTCATGATCTTAACCATCGAAATTACTGTAATATCTACAAAACCCATCTGAAATTAAATAAATCTTGGAACTTTTGTAAACGACAAGTTATGCTCCACTATCTAGACAAAGAGTCAAAATATTCTTAGGATAAAATACTGCAACAAAAAGTGTAACTTCGTTGACCACAAGAACATGTATACATGTACAAACCAAATCGTGACACTACGAATCAATTGAATGACAATTGTCACTGTACATCAACTTCCTTTACCATGAGGCATTTGAAAGCGTGAATAGGAGAAGATTATGGAAAATTCTTTGACATCATGGTGTACCTTAGAAAATCCTCAACATCATCCGGAATTTATACGACTGACTGCACTACAAAGTCGTGCATGGAGGACAGCTGGCAGATGCATTCCAAATGAAGACTGGTGTCGGACAAGACTGCTTACTCTCACCCTTTCCCTTTCTTCTAATGGTTGATCGGATTTCGGAGACCACTACATCTCAGGGAAAGTAAGAAATAAAATAGGCAGCTTGTATACAGCTAGAGGACTTCACAGGTGACCTAGCTCTTCTACTCCATACACAACAATAAATGAAGGTCAAGACAGGCAGTGGAAATGAAGCAGCCTCTCCAGTGGTGGGCCTCAACATACACAAAAGAGAAAGCAAGATCATGAAATACAACACGGAGAACACCAACCCAATCACATTTGATGGAGAAACTCTGGAAGAGGTGAACAGTTTGACGTACCTGGGTAGCATCATTGATGAACAAGGAGGATCAGACGCAAACGTAAAGGCAAGGATTGGCAAAGCAAGGACCGCATTCCTACAGTTGAAGAACATCTGCAACTCAAAAAACCGTAAACAAATATCAGTCACAATCTTCAATACGAACGTCAAGACAGTTCTGCTGTACGGAGCTGAAACTTGGAGAACTATTACAACCATTTTAAAAAATGTACAGGTGTTTATAAACAACTGTCTATGCAAAATAATCAATGTATGTTGATCGGATACCATCAGTAACAGCCTACTGTGAGAGAGAGCAAACCAGCTTCCAGATGAAGAGTACAATAGGAAAAGACATCGGAGATGGATAGAATACATATTGAGGAAATCACCAGATTGCATCACAAAGCAAGAACTAACTTGGAATCCTGAAGGTAAAAGAAGAGGAAGAATTGGAAACCATAATTTTCCGTTGTGACAAAAATGTATGTATACGTCATCTGCTTATTTACCATGAAAATATACATTGAAAATAGAGTGTATTAAAGTAAAAAAAAAAGCATTAAAGAGACGCTCTATTTTGGCTCCAAGTTTTGCAAAATAGTGAATACTCAATACCGATCTAATATGCCGATCCACAAATTGGTTTCCATGATTACATTACTAACAGATATCAAATTAAACTGTAAAGTCATGGTTCAGTATCTTAACTTCTAGGCTATTAACCCAGTGTTACACATGTTCAATCTTCTCTCCCTTAACTTCAATTTGGACAACCACATAGAAAAGCCAACTCGCATACAGAAGTAAAAACAAGAACTTATAAATGACTACTTCAGTTACAGTTGGTGATGAAAAAAATAACTTCACTACCAAATTCCAAATTTTACATATAGCTATGAATCAATAATTTATTCATTTAACATTCAATGTTCATTAGTAGGTAAGTACGGTCAAGGAGTGTGTAAATCTTCGCGCATAATACACAATATTATGTAAAACAAAATCCAACTACACTGTTAATTAGTTACATTTAAAATTTATTTAAATGGGAAAATATTACAATTACAAGCGATAATACACACAATATTAACTTACCTGAAAAAGACATATTAATGGAACGAAGATATAATTCTTTTAAACTATAGTTTCTAATTAAACCTTCACACAATATTTCAACACCTTTATCGCCAATATTTACATTGTTACTTAAATCTAAACTAATTAAACCGCCAACCAAAGAGATTAGTGATTTTGGTGTTTGCATTAATACAATAGCCAATGATTGCATACCATCTATGCTTAAATTATTGTCTACAAGATAAAGACGTTCTAAGCTGCAAATTTTCATCGGTATTGATTGTGTACAGCAGCTATTAAGATTTGAGTCGGAATTTTTTTCTGTTGATGGTAATGATGACATAGTAGTTAGTTTAAGAATTTCTTGATCATTCAACGTAGAGAAACGTTCACGTAAACGATTTCGATAAGATTGAAGCAGTCCAGTACACAATATACCTAAACCATCATCCTATGAACATTAAAGTGATAAAAATTAAAAAAACTAATGATTATTATTAAATTTTTATGTAAATAAAGCAATAAATTTAATTTATAAATTAAACAAATAATGACATTTCTAAAAAGGGGGACTTATTTTTGATCAAGAATGTAATTAACATGTCATAATTAGGAAAATAATTGTCTATTATTGAGGAACATTTTTTCGACATATTAGAGATTACTTTATAGCATGTCACAGTAGAATTATTCAGTTCTCTATAGAGTTTATAAGAATAAACACAACCTACCGACACATCGGCGCATAGATCTTTTTTTCTTTTTTATAGAAAAACCGTTATCTGTTATAATTCTCTCTCTTACGGTTATAACCCAGCTATTCCTATTGCTTAGTATTCACGGACACCAACTCACTCGACAAGGCCCCAAATCAGAACACGGTTGAACAGGAAAGAGATTGTATTCCAAATAACAAGGTTAGATGGAAGAAAGAAGCACAATAGGAAAAACGCTAGTATATTTATAGCTTTTACATGAGAAGATTCCAGAGTATTCTTCAAGTATCGGCTAGCGCTGATTGGATAAGAATTAGCCAATCAGCATGCGCCAATGCAATCGTTCATTGAGCATGGGTTAATCCAATCTATGTCCCGCTAACATTAACTATACATATTAGAAACCTAAATCAATGTGTACAGAAACACTTTATACAATTGGTTTTGTTACTATGACTCCGATTTTTGATTTTTTATATTCTTGAATATTTTTGGACGGTTCCGTTTTTTTGTTCTTTTTCACAAAGAATCTTATCCCATGTAATTTATTTCATATGAACATTTGCAATTCATTCAATTGATATTAATACTTTACTATCTTTAATATATTGTTTCCCTTTCATATAAGATATCCAATCCTATTTAACAATAATTTTACGGAACCTAACCATAAAGATCTCAGCGCCTGATATAGTACACAGTAACAGTCCTATGTCTTCATTAAGCTATCTTTGGTCTTTTTACAATCTACTCCTACATTACCCAGTAAAGTTTTCCAAGATAAATCCAAGTATATATGTAAGTTGTGTTTCAGAAACCTAATTTGACGAAAGTTTCACATTTAAGCTCTGCACTAACCATTCAGTGGTTTTCTCATACACTAGTAGCCCATAGAAGACGTTTAAGGTTAAGTATTAGCATTCCATCTTACGCTTTCAAAGGTTATAATTTACAATCATAAAGTAATACAAAGCAGATTGTGAAATAATCCGGAATTATCCGGATTTTTTTTAATTTTCATCACAGGCTTTCATAAGACGCTATATTTAGCGAGAAAAAGTATATCATTTTAATCCTTGAGAATATTAGAGCCTACATATAGAAGATGGACTCTTTAAATAGAATACAGATACAACAGTGAAACCTGTTTATGAGTTGTTCAGTTGTATACGAGCAATCTACAGATCAGTGATTCCAGTCTAAACACTGTCCAAATTACTATACAGTATTACTCATTATTCACGAAAATAAATCATAAAATAATGTTTGACAGAAGCTAAGCTGAAAGGCTTAAGTGTGCGTAAATTCGCAAATTTGAAGTAAAAAATCAAGTATACATCACATGTTTTCATATTGTCCCTCTGAGTCAAATGGTTTAATATTTAAGCTTTTGGTATTTATTTACATTTAAAAAATATAGACAAAAAACTCAAAAGAACCTCTATATTATGTAACTATCCAAGATACCTATACTTTGCAATACAACGATTTTACGAACAAGACCAATAATATACGGTATGATAAGTTCGAAGACACAAACCTCTAGTCTAGTATAGTCTAATTCACATTCAACATCCATTAATATTTACTTTGAACAAATTTTCTGCATATTTTATTGTTCCTATCAATTTTTCGCCTATTACTCTATCTCAAAATGTAGCGGATTGAAATGATTTACCATTGTGTCAAATGAAACAACAGATACCGAAAATTATCAATCAACAAAAAACCCCGAACTAACCAATTAACATTTCCCCTTTTGAATGTATAAACAAAACAACAAGAGTACGGTCTTTTAGTACACTAAAAGAACAACTTACACCAATGTTATTATGAGACAAATTTAACTCCAATAAATAACCAATCCCTCCAACTGGAAGAAAATCACACGATGATGACGACGATGAGTTGGATTTTTTCAGTTGTGTACATTTCGTATGTGAACTATTGTTTAAGAGGACATCTGATGAACTCATTTCATTTATATTATTATTACTATTATTGTTATTATTATGACCTTCAAATTTAACAGCTTCAGGTCCCGACATTTTTGGAATAAATAACTGATGACGAATTAGTGGTAGTATTGCTTCAACATCTGAAGAAGTCAATTTATTATTCATTAAACCTAATTTTAATTCCCAAATAGAAGGTTTAGTATCATTAATAGTGGTAGTGTTAGTATTATTAGTGTTGGTAGTACTTATATTTGATAAATTTAATGCTGAAGTAGTAGAACAGTGTCTACGATGTCTCCAACCACGAAATTTATGTCCTCTACTTGAATTATATGATCTGTCTCGTGTTGGTGGATATAAACTTGTTGAACTCAAAAGGATGTACAACCATTGCGTAAGTCCATATAATGCTTGACCGGTTAAATTACAATCAATAAAATGTAAACGTTCCAAGCATAGACCATAAAAACTTAGACCATGAAAATTTTCTAAGCGTAATGGAGTATGACTCAGTGTGAATCGACGTAGAGCAGACGACTATGAATAAAAATTAATATAAAACAAAGAAATGAACTTGGTACCTTTATAAATTTTTAAAAGTTATATTTATAAATATATCAGCGGGTAATTTAGAATACAAGTTAGAAAAACAATTAAAATACTGATCGAAAACAATATTACGAATTTCAGTAAACATAGTTTCCTTTATCATCGTGAAGTGTAAGAACAAAGATTTGAACAGAATAACATGAATTCAATGTATTTCGTTGGGTTCTCGTCAGTTGCTTACAACCTGTAATATTTACAAATCATAATTACAAAATGAAGTCAAATTACTTACATGACGGAGTTTAGAGGTTGATAGGATCACATATCAGTATAGTATAGCAAGGGAGTAAATAAATATCATAGACTAAATAAAATATTGTAAATGTATACCCTGTGTAAAAGAACATTCTAAAACACTGATAGTAAGAAGAGTCAAAAGGTTTAGAAACAAGTAGTTACGTAATGAATAAACGCTGACAATAAGAATGTAAGTAATTGGAACCTATTTTGTAATTATTATTTACAAATATGTTGTGAGCAACTAATGAGAACCAAGTGAAATAAAATGAATGTTATTCTGCTCAAATCTTTGTTCTTGCTCTCCTTAAGATAATAAGAACTGTTAGGTGGTTGGAAGTAATGAAGGTAAAATATAATGCACACGATATTGGATTACCTATACTAGTGGCCATGTTGGAATTTGATTAGGACTAAATCATTAGGACAAATATGAAATCGGTCACTGCTACTCAGTAACTAACTAATTATAATATGAATTTGATCAATATCTCACCAACAAAGATAATTCAGAATTGAAACTATTCACAAAATGTGGATTGAGGTAAGAAAAATAACACAACAATCCTAAACAGTGTCAAGTTTAATATCGAGAGAAATATTAATTTCCCTCATTTGATATGATTAACAGGAATTTTAATGAGTCTGTACGTTATTCGTTTCCTGAAGATTCTACAGCTGATATATATCATGAGTTTGTAATCGACATTATTCTACTCTCGGTGAACTGACCGTATCTATCAACCCACTTTAAACGCTGAAAGTTTACTTTCACCTACCCAATTTTGTAAAACCACCTCTGTAGTGTAATCTTTTTAGAAGAATTTATATAACAATGACTGTATGAGAACCAATTGAGAGGTAGAGTAGATTCTTTTCACTCTCATCCATACTTAAGTGTACAGAGGCAAGGCGAAATTGAAAATTGTACAAATAAGTTTACAATTCTTATCTTTTACATAAATTCGGCTGTAAATCCAGAAAATATTTGAATATTTAATAATGATCAAGAATTTTTATTTGGTTAAACTAAAAAAGTGTCTCATTATCTTTCACGTACAAGTGTGAAAACGACGTACACTAAACCTGGAAAACATATTTACTGTAGTGAAGATGCTCTCAAACTTTCACTCAGTTACCTTTTGGTTGTACTACAAACAATAAATAATGTAGAAAAATAAAATCACAATGATTGAATAAAAGAGGAAACTTTTCACATAGCTAATGGGACACGTACCTTTCGCATGAAATTAACACAACGACTCCAAGCTTGACTAGGAAGAGTTTTGTTTAAATTTAAACTTATACTTAGATCTGTACAACTTTCATAATGCAGTAACATATCAAACAGTGACGAAGCAGACTAGAATGAAAATAATAGATGAGAAAAATAAAGAGAACAGCAAAAAAAAATATAAACAAGTAAAAATAAAGAGAATTCAGAGAAGGAAATTTTCTTTTCGACGAAATCATTTGCTTAGGCTGTACATTCGTATTTGCAGTTGTTTATTAGTAAATATATGTCTATAAAAGGATGCGTCCAACCTCTCATTCTTCTTTGGGCCTAATTCTATTTTATGGTATGTTTTTTAATTAGCGTTTTGCAATTGTAAACCGTAATCATTTATTACTATCCTTTAACAATTTTCTATGATTATTCAGTTATTATTATGGCCCTTATGTTTTTTTTTTAATTTTTTCTTCACATCTGCAGAGAGGACAATTGTCTTTCATAATTCTTCTACTCTTTTCTAACCCCCTGATTATTACACAACCTCACTTCATATTTGGAGTTTCGAATCACTTTATGATGCGATCTTTTCAATCCTTCTATAGACATATGTTCACTTACTTATTTACGCCTGTTACTCCCAGTGGAGCATACGCAGCCGACAACCATTCTCTAACCTACTCTGTCCTGGGCCTTTCTTTCTACTTCTATCCAATTATTCATTCTTCTCATGTCTACCTCCATTTCTCGGCGTAATGTGTTCTTTAGCCTTCCTCTTCTCCTATGGTCATGAGGATTCCGGGTGAGGGCTTGTCTTGTGACGCAGTTAGGTGTTTTCCTCAATGTGTGTCCTATCCAGTTCCAGCGCTTCTTCCTGATTTCTTCCTCCATTGTAATCTGGTTCGTTCTGTCCCACAGTAGGTTGTTGCTTATAGTGTCTGGCCAACGGATCCGAAGTATTTTGCGTAGACAACTGTTAATAAACATTTGTATCTTTTGGATGATAGCTTTCATAGTTCTCGAAGTTTCCGCCCCATACAGTAGAACTGTTTTGACATTTGTATTGAAAATTCTAACTCTGGCGTTGGTCGACAGTTGTTTTGTCAACCAACGCCAAAGGTAGAATTTATATTCACTATACAACTATAAATACGAATGTGCATCTCAAATAAATGATTTCAGACACTGACAGATGCGCACAACTCATAGAACACGCATGAATATTACCATAAACAGGTTGATTCAAGTTATAGAAATAACTTAAAGCAAAAAGATATAGAAAAAAGTATGTATATAAAACAAGTGGTAATATCCGCTTTTACGGTTTTAAATCAGTGTTTACCAATAATTTTGTCGAAGATTAATTGGATGATTTTCTAGCAGTCCAAAGTATACTGTGTTCATCCAAGGATAATTAAGTCATTTCTAAGAACAATTATGTGGACGATAAACACATGGATTCGCCACTCATAAATCACAAGCCCTTAAGGAACTTTTAGTTACATGATACGTTTTTTTAAGAATAAAACGTTTATTAACTGATAATTTGACTGGTAAAAAATGAGATTTTAAATTGGTAGACGGTGATACATTGAAAAGGCAGCAATTCGCTTTTAGCAAGTCACGAGTCCGAACCCCACGTTAACTACCTCCACTTGGACATATCGACCATATCATCATATAAACAATGAGACTTAATCTGAGTAAATAAATATGGGCTTAATAAATAGGTTACATTATTTCTTCTTAACAAGTAAATTATTCGGTTTGGAAAACTTTATCTGTAGGTGATTGAATCCTATAAAAGTTAGAACAGTACATCATTTATCATTAAATAACCATTACGCATATTGCTGAGATGCATCCTAATAAGTATTGTGATACTGAAGAGTTTCCAGAACCGTTCACAAACTCTTAGTACCGACCAGGAACGGCTATAAGATTAATTCTATAATTATAATATTATATATATTTACAACACTTTATGTCTTCAATCTCATTACTCTGTCATGATGAAACACATCTGATTTTACTGTTATAAGTACTTAGACTTTACGATAATTTTGATTTTTAAGTATTATAGGTTGTAAGTAGCTAATGACAACCTAACAAAATAAAATGAATTCATGTCATTCTGCTCGGTTCTTTGTTCTTGCTCTCTTTCATTCTATGATAGACTTGTAACTAAAAAAAGTTACTTATGACTCAGCTAGAGAAGGAAATTGAATTGAAAAAATTGAGCTAAAAACAGAAAGAAAAATCTTGTCAACAAATATCCAACGAGAAAACAAGCTGAGAAATCGAATCAGTTTCACCATGAGTTAGTAGCTATCCTGGTATCGATCTAGTGAATATTATAATGAAAATTTCGGAGTTTCCGAAGAGGACAACTCTGCAAAATGCTGGAATTTTATGAGGAGTTTCGAAGAGTGTGTCGCTAATGAGAGTATCGTATTTGGAAAGAAGCTAAATTACGTTATTCAGTGTTGTGACGAAGCTAAGGCAGTCATAATACACTGGGCCCTACTGGAGTCGAAGGTTGGCTGCTGTAAAGCCTTCGAAATACTAGCCGAAGAACTTGATCTGAAGCACATCTTAGCTCGGACGCTTATTGATACGTTACTAAGATTTCCCAATGCTGGGGAGGCATTTCCCGACACCTTGAAGAGGTTATCTCGACAGATATTGATTAGCGAGTTAACTCAAAATCAGATGAACTACACTTCAGATTTGAATTCATTGAGGACCATAAAAGTCCCAATCTCTGACTGTAAAATGGTCAGTTTAACCCAATCCATATTCATAGAAAGCTGTTTCCTTAATCATTATTTCGATTTTTTGATGACACGTATTGCACACACAAAAATACATTCTCCAACATATTTATTATTTTACATATTTTAATTGGCAAAAGACTAACATCTTTCATTCATACATCACATCACTCTGTTTCTCTACTAATCAATAGACTGATGATTTAAGTGGTACTGTGTTTATGAATTAATGTATATTCTGAATAGAGCATTACATAAATTTATAAAAATTCTCAAGAAAACCAGCTTTAGCATGAATATATATATATATATATATATATAAAACTAGCTAACGATATGAAGTCACCTGTTCGTCTAAAAATGTATTTTCTAGATCAATTACTCTAAAATGTGCACGCTGAAATATTGCCTCCATTGATTCAATATGAAATCGATTCAATCGAATACCTAGAATGGAAGCAAAACAAAACTACAATTCAATTAAACAGATAAATAGAATCTTTCGATTAATGGGAACAAATACCCTCTTCAAGTTGTTCTTTAATACATTTTTACACTTTTATCTTCAAGTTGTACTCTGAGATATCTTCCTGTTCTTTGGGAAGATGTGGAGGAAAGTGTGCCAGTATAACAATATGATTAGCGTCTGATATGTGTGCTCTAAGAGAAGAGTTAGTTTTCGATTGATACTCTTCCGAAATGAACAATGGCAATATAATCTAATGAGCCGCAATATTATCGAAAAGAGTGAACCTAGGCTGAATCTATATTTATTCAAGTGATTGCAGTTTACATCACCAAAGCGAAAGCAAATTAACAGAGCTCAGAACAAAAATGTCAAAATGATATAATCAATGGAAGTGTCACTATTGCTTGCAGCCACTTTAATTCATTATAAAAAATTCACTTATCTAAAGAAAATGAATTAGATGGTCAAAGGTGACCAGTGGATATCATTTTTATAACTTCATCACTATAGTTCTTTTATTACATCTGAAAATTATTTCTTTGTTACAAGAAAAATATAACTTGATACTATCACACAATTATGTATGCAATATAACTTGGGTGTAATCCATATTACAGATGTCTGTGTTAATATAATGTATATGAAGTGTATCTACATTAGCAGCACATAAATACATTCTGATTCATGAAAAACATCTTAATGGTAAGCCTTACCTATTTTTTCATTAATGTTGAGTATTTAAAAAAGCAAACGTTTTGCAGCTACCTATCAATATATGTATAGATAAACATGTACACTTTTTTGAAATCAATGTGATACATCGGGAGACACACAAAAAAAAGAATTCTGGAACTAATCAAACATAAAATTGGTTTACGATTCGGGTATGGAGACAATTCAAAGGAAAAAGTTACGAAAATGCGATAATGAAATAGTCTGAGCAAAAAACCAGTGGATAACATTAATGACATATTCACAAATCAATTAAGGGTCAAATAATACGTAGTTTAGTAGTGAGAATATAATTTCAAAAGAACACAAAGTGAAGAGCATGTATACATTGATCTAGACAAAGCACAGCACTATTGAAAGTGCTTATTGATTAATGGAGTACTGGAATACAAGACAATAATAAAAGGAATGTGATTCAGTTACAAAAAATACGATATGTAAATTAACAGAGATTGCCAATGTCTAGTGGATGACGTGGAAGAGTTATATGCTACGAGGAGAGAGTTATGGTCTGTCAAAACATGTTTCGTTTGCTAAAGATTAAGTGCAGGGAAAGACAAAAATATAATAATAATCGTGAAGTATATTCTATTGACCATTTATCTTGACGCCAACTAGATCGTACGAATAATTGGTATCGAAATATAAATCTCAGCTACCCTTGTATATGATCATCGACTAAAATCGCGTTAGTGAATAACGGAATAAGTCAAATAGAAGAACGGACTTGGAATACATATATTTCATACAATCGTTGATCCAGATAGACGATCAGAGAAACGAAGCGAAACGAAATAACGCGCCATGGAAAAGGCGAGTGAACCAACTCGGTTTAATCAAGCGTGACTCGATATTTATAGTCAAACAAAAATAAGTTACAGACACATAATGAATAGGGTAAGTAATTAACATACATGCGATCATATCAAAATGGTCAGAGTTAATAAGTGAATAACTGACAGAGTCGAAATGTGGCTTGAGGTAAATGAAAAGACTGATCTATCCAGAGGCTAGAATAACTTATGTGGGCTTGGCATAGTACCAGCGACTATAATACAATAAATAGCGTTTCAACAATTACACTAAATGACATGTTATAAGAATATTGAGAGAAAACTAGAAAAAAACGTGAATAACGAAAATATAAGAATACTAAATGGAGAAAAGGAAGAGATGACAGATTTCATTTATCTTGGATGTATGCCATTTTTTGAAGAATAACAAAAAAGTATAAAAGACTCGCCATCGGTTTCTATCATGACTTACGTCAAACAACAGTTTGAGCCACTGAATAACAATATTCTTAAAACTGTTTTTAGGAAGTTTCTATAAGCCAACGTAACCTAAACAAACTATATTACCATCCATCTTCTTGTGACATGAACTAATTTTATTTTTCTATCTTCATTCTATTACGCCACATCAGCAAGCTATCCTAATAAACCTTGAATATCTCATTACTAAACATCTGTTCGTTTATTCATTTTCGCATTTTCTCGCATTATCATTCTTTTTCTGTAGTAATATTAAACGTACCAAACTGAACTAGTTTACTTGTATGTGAAATTCAATATTATTACAATCGAGGAAACCTAAAGGGGGTTGGAGTACATGACGTCATAAATTATCGATCCGAGATGTGTTGGAAAAACTGTACACAACGAGATTGGGTCGGGCTTAATCTTGATAATAACCAGACAAGTATATAAATTATTATCATACTCATTTATTTATTTCTGTTGACTTTCCGTAACAATATTTGTTTTGAAAAGTAACCATCTTGATAAGATGCATCCTTGTATTAGGCTTTACATGTTTTCAATTAATGAATCAATTATTTCGTTAGCCCGTTAAATATAAGAATTAAATCAAATGATTCCCACCTTCGGTCTAATATTGTGTACCTATGTACCTAATCAACTCGGAAACTATATACATATACCACTAGAGATATAAAATTGGTCTCCAATCTGATGAAAAAAACTGAAAGTGACCTTTATTTCCACAAACTAATGAGACACACCTAAACAGATAACGTGAATTATGTGTG